GACCTTCACTAGAAGTACTCTGCTTTTCCAGGTTCAATGTGCAAAAAAAGAAAAGGTGGTTTTTTAGCCGAGGCACTATTTGCTCCGCTGGACTTTGAGCAGATTGCCTCAGACATCCACTTCAATATTGATCGAATTGGGCCTTTTCTTGAGATACGCTGTCCCCACTTAATCCCCCCAAAAATCAACAAGTTTATAGTCCACTGAATATATATATTCCTCTTGCATAGTTGTGGCTATTAGGTCATCTACATACTGTGCCTTTGCCTGGGAGTGAGCTCCAAGCCTCAAGCTCCTTTGCTAGCTGATTACCAAACATCGTCAGGCTATTTTAAGCCCTTGAGGTAACCCTGTCCAAGACAACTGAATCTTTCTGCCATTTTATGGATTTTCTCACACAAAGGCAAATGCTTTTTGACAAAAGAAGGCATCTTTCAAGTCCAACATGGTAAATCACACATGGTCAGTTTTGAATTTGGGGTAGATGTGCTCCAGGATTTCACTAGGCACCAGAGTACTTTTGGTACCTGTATTAACTTAAAAATTGGATTAGCTGAGTCACAGAATCACAGAACTGGAGGGGTTGGAAGGGACCTCGAAAGATCATCGGGTCCAACCCTTCCACCAAAGCAGGCTGCCCAGGTAGGCGTCCAGACGGGCCTTGAATATCTCCAGAGAAGGAGACTCCACAACCTCCCTGGGCAGCCTGTCCCAGTGCTCCGTCACCCTCCCCGTGAAGAGGTTCTTTGGCATGTTGGTGCGGAACTTCCTGTGCTCTATCTTGTGGCCATTACTCCTTGTCCTGTCTCCACAAACCACTGAAAAGAGGTTGGCCAAATCCCTCTGTCTCCCACACCTCAGCTATTTCTACGCATTGATGAGATCCCCTCTCAGTCTTCTTTTCTCCAGGCTGAACAGACCTAGGTCTCTCTGCCTTTCCTCATAGGGAAGATAAGATAAGCTGCGTCTCTTTTACTTGGAGCTCCTTGGGCAAAACTTTATGCATGCTCCTGATTGTTTTAACAAATCTCTTCCCAACAAGGATTTAGCTGATCCTGGCAAATACAAAAATTGAAAGGCCGTTAAATTGTACAACCTTATCTCCTCAGCAGATTCTCCAAATTCCTCAAAGACAATGAACAAACCCCCACTAATTTATCACACCTTGAAAGTGCTGGCTGTTGGAAAGAGACCCCATTGGAGAGGGTAGCCCGCAGCTGCTCACAGCCAGTTCCTGCAGCAGTACACTGGGAGAGGCAGCCTCGGAGGCAGTTCTCTAGGAGACTCTCTTCTGGTTTTGCAGAAAAACTTTCACCAGCCGATGGAGCATGACCAACGTCCTTCATTCCAACTGAGAATGGAGTACAATGAGAAGCTGAAGGAGAGGATGAATCAGAATGACAAAGGCCAGAGCGGTGCGAGCCTGAAGGCACCAGAGGGCAGGCAGGAAGAGCCACAGCCCCTGAGGAGAGCACAGACAGAGTAAGTGTGCACCGGTCCAGCTGAAGCCTGGGAACAGCCTCACTTCAACACACCCCACAGCTAGGGGACTGACTGACGCCTTGGGACAATTCTGTCCCTTCTTCCCCACCCAAACTGATGGCCTTTCCTTTGGATCCTGCAGGAAAGGGGAGAAGACGAGGCTCTTGGACAACTGTGACAAGGCCCAGGGCGTGCCGTCCACACCAGGAAACCGCAAGCGGCCCTGCAGCTTCCAGCTGCAGAGGCCGTAGCCATCAGCACCAATACCAAAAGCTGGAGCAGGCGCCGGCACCAGTACCAGGGACACTCGAGAAGAAGCTCCCACCTCTCCTCATGGCGCTGCCCCCTTTGCAGTGTGAGAGCTGTCAGCAAGGGGTGTGAAGAGCGCCTTCCAAAGGGTGACCTGCCAAATAAAGAGGGCGGGTGCCTGCTGCCAGCTTATACTTCAGGACCCACAACACAAACCGATTTGCATCAAGCCCAGAAGAGATCCGCAGCCTTGGGGCATGGGTGTAAGGCTTCTGTAAGGCTAGGGTAAAGATGAGGTACCCTAGCAGGTCCATGAGTTGAAATAAAACTAGGAAACGAAGAGAGAGGCTTGAATTTTTTTGTTGGTTCTGGGAGCTTCTTCCTCTGTGTTAATTAGTCTGTAAATGTAATAGGAGCAACTGGCCAACAGGAAAAGGTGGTTTTTTTTTGCAATACCAGAAATTTAAATTGGGAAAATTGGGGAAGAAAAGGGACTCATAGGCACTCAAGGAAAAGGGCTAATTCACCAAACTGTAGTTACTCAAATATTGCACGCATTGAGAGGACCTAGGGAAATTGCCGTAGTACATGTCAGAGGACATCAAAAGGGGAACTGGTTTCCACATAAGAGGGAATAACCTAGCAGGTAAAGAAGCTAGGAAAGCAGCTCTTAGGAAGCATGACGTAGTTCTAACCCTACAGGAATAGGATAATGAAAAAGGGGCACGAGAAAAAGCATACAGAAGCACAAATAAAAACTATAAAGACAAGAGGGGCAGAACTGAAAGAAGGAAAATGGATTCTGCCTGATGGAAGAGAAATACTGCCAAAGGAACAAGCTAGGCGTGCACTTCTACAGTTATTACTACAAACGCATTAGGGAACAACAGCATTGAGTGATCAATTTCTAAAATTTTATGGGTGTGTAGGAATACATGAGATAGCCAAACAAACTGTCCAGGAGCAAAAAACAGGCAGTAGCAGGGAAAATTCTGATTAGCAAAAGAAAACAGTGTTAGCCATGAGGTGCTTTCACAGTGATGGCTAGCTCAGCTTTACCACACCGGTCTCTCACCCTACCCCTACTCAAAGGAAAGTGAGGAGAAAATGTGACAAAAAAGGGTTTAGATCAGGACAGTTTACAAAGGAATAAAGAAAGGGAAAAAATCAGAAAACAATAACACAAATAAAAGAAGCAGGTGATGCACAATGCAGCTGGTCACCACAAGCCAACTGATGCCCACCTGGTCCCTGAGCAACAGTGACCTCTCCTGCCAACCCCCCCAGCGTTATTGTCCCACATGACACCACATGCTATGGGACATCCCTTTGGCCAGTTGGGGTCAGCTGTCCTGGCCGTGTCCCCTCCCACCTCCCTGTGCACCCCCAGCCTTCTCAGGTTCACCAGGAGGAAATCATGCTTGATAAACTGCTTAAAATTATCTAATGAAAGGACTGGCTTGGAAGACAAGAAGAGGGTATTGCATATAGACAGGGGGACTGATGGCTGAAGTGCAGCCCTGCAGAAAGAGAGTTGAGTACTGAGCTGCACAAATGCTCTGCTGCTACCACACTGCTAGTAGTATTCAACAAGTGTGTAATTCAGAGCTTAACCCAGCCTCACGGAAGGAAGCGAAGTCCCAAATGTGTCCTCCTGAAAACTAACAGCCTAAACACAAGTGCAACGTCAGGGGAAATTCAGAGAAGATGGGACCGGTGTTGTGAAGGACAGGGCAAACTAGAACAAACACAGCATACGGTAGGATCAAAGAAGGAAAAGGTTGTTCATCCCTTGAGACATAAAAGTAAGATTTCAATGGGAAGAGAAAGTAAAACAGCACAGCACAAAATAAAAAACAGCGTTATTTATTATATACCCTGCATCTTCCCTTGGAACAGTCACAGCGAGGTCCCGACTCCCCTCCCATCTCATTTTCCCTCTAACCCTTGCTGATAAGATCAGCAGATTAAGGAGATGAACAACTCTTGTCATCTTTGCTTGCTGTCTCCCAAGTAAGAAACCTGCACGCAGGCAGAGAGAGGTCAGTGTCTCTCTCAGAAAAATAAATAAAGAAATAAATAAACAAATAGAATAAAAATAATTAAAAGAAAAAAAAAAAAAAAGAAACAACAACAGAGCAAACAAACAAACGAACAATAAAGCAGCCACACTCAGTGGTATTCTACTGCAACAACATCATCTTTGTTTCTCACACTCCCCAGTCAGAAACCTGCACACAGGCAGAGACAGTCAAGTGTTTCTCTCAGAAATTAATAAATAAATTAATAAACAAAATAAAACATCCACACTCGGGCGTAAGGGACACCTGTGACAGAGAACTGGCACAGGGTGCCCAGAGAGGCTGTGGAGTCTCCCCCAACAGAGATCCTCAACAGCAGCCTGTGCATGCTCCTCGGCAACCTGCTGTAGGTGGCCCTGCTTGAGAGGATCCATGATTCCTCTCTGATCTATGGTTCCGTGATTCTCTTGATTTTGAAAGCAAAGAATTCACCTGAACATCAAAAGCAGCCTGAAGAAAACAGCCATGCTCTGGAAGAACACTTTGAAGGAGCATATGCAACTAAGCTGGGCCTGACTGGCAAGGAGCCTTACTGCAGCCTCCAGCTTGTTAGGACACGGTTTGCGCAGAGCCTGGCAAAACCAGGCTGGGGTCTTGTTTTGAGCAGTGAGCTGAACAAATTCTCTACAGGTACTGCAGTGATACCTATATTCAGCCTGAGCTCAAACCAGCCTCACTCACACAAGGGAGTGAAGTCCAAAATGTGTCCTCCTCACACCTGTAATTGCAATGGACGTGGGGGTGCTGGAAAGGTGGAGGCAGTATATCAAAGAAAACGGAGTAACAGGAGCATATGGTAACAAGCTGAGGTGAGAGATGGAGGCAGAGGTGTCTGCACCGCCCCGTCAGGGGCCTCACTCTGCACCCCTGCCCATGCTGAGGCAAGATGTGGGTGGCCTGTGAGGTGCCGACCCTTTGTGACACGTTCGATGATGTCGTGGGGCTCGGCTATAAATACCGGCCCTGCCGTGCCTGGCCACACTCCCCAGCAAGGCCTGGGAAGTGTTGGAGCTGCTCTCGCCAGCGCTACTCTGCTCCACAGGAGCTGCTCTGCCAGCAGCAGAAGGCGAGGGGAGCCTGTGGTAGAGAACGCTGGTTGGGAAGTGTTGAGGAAAAGGAGGAGGAGCCAAGGGAGTTTTGTAGCACGAAAAGCACGTCTTTACCAGCTTCTGTAAGGCTAGGGTAAAGATGAGGCACTACGTGCTGTTCAACCCCTTGAAGCCTGAGGACCTTTCATTAATTAAGGAGCTCACCAGGAAAGGTAAGGCCCTGGGGGGCCCTTGTGGGAGCGCTGTTGTCGCAAAGACGGACGTGAGCTGTGGAAAGCTTGGGGCTGGGGCTGCCGGGGGAAGGTCTTCTGAAGGGTCCTGGCAGTCTGCAAGGAGAGCCCTGAGTGCATCCAATGTGCTTCCCAAAGTGCATCTAACGCCTCCCCTCCCTCCCCAGGCCTGTCCTGGGCACAGTGTGGGCTTCTTGCAAGCTGGGCAAGGTTCAGGAGCTGTGCAGCAGCTTGCCCCAGCAGTGCGAGTGCTGGTTGAGGGCAAGGCAGAGCTTGATCGCACACCACTGTCACCTCTGTGGCGATGGGGGTTCAGACTTCATGGGCATTGCCAACTCACAGCATCTTGGCATCTGTCTTTCGCTTTCCAGAAATCGCCCAAGTGTGGAATAGTACGTGCAGATACATCAGAAGGCAGCTGTTGCAGAAGAAGGTGAGCCTTACATCCTGCCCCTGGCCCATCTTGCCCCTTTGGACCTGGGCCACACAGCACCATCTTCAGGGCCAGCAAGTCACCCAGCACCCTTCCAGCTCTGCCCAGCACTGCCATTGGTCCCTCTTCTTGCTTGCGTTTTCAGGCGGTGAATATTGGAATCGGGACATTTGCCGTTGTGTCAGCGAAGACCACTGGTGCGGATGGCAAGGCTATGGTTGTCCGGAAACCCATATTCAAGCCCTGCAGGTTCATGAAGATATTTTACAAGCTCAAGTGTGCTGAGAGCAGAATTCCTAGTAAGAAGATTTTTGCTTTGCTTTCCCTCTGCAGCCCTTGCCTTTTGCTCCATGCAGTCGTGCCTGTGCCACGGCAGAGCAAAGTCTCTTGCACCATGGAGAGGCTGAGTGTGGGTGCACATACAGCATCCCAGAACATGCCCCTGCCCTGGGAGTCAGCCCCGTCTCTGCAGCTCATCCCACCCTCTAGCAGGATGCTCGTAGCACGTGGCAAAGCTTCCCTTGGCCTTCTGTTCCCCATCTGCTCTGCTCTGGAGATGTGGCCAAAGCTGGCAAGGACCTTCCCCGTGGCACAGCATTGCGCGAGGGCTGGGCGCTGCACACACTTCGTCTGTGAGTTTGCTGAACTGAGTGAGGACTGACATTGTTCCTTCATGGTTGTTTTCTAGTCGAGACATTCATTGATCCGCTGGACATTGAGAAAATTGCCGCACACATCTACTTCCGACCACAAATAGTAGAGCAGTGCATCCACGAGACCCTGCTTCTCTACGCTGGTGGCCTCTTGGACAACCAGGATGTGGAATTCTTCTTCAAGGGCATTGGCATTCTTACTGTGCGAAGAAGAGTGGTCACCATGAACTATTACACTGATTTCCTGCTGGACGTGGATGACACACGCAATATGCGTGAAGCTCTTCTCACGGTGAGCGGATCATGTCTCCAGGGCAGCTTGCAGCTCTGGCAATGCTGTCAAAGCTCTCTCAAACTGCTTTCTCCTTGCCTGCCTCACCATTGCGTGAGACAGGCTGGAGGAGCTACACAAACTGTTGGTAGCACCTTGGCCTGTTTGTGTGAGGGGCTAATGACACCAAAGGACAAAGTGGGGCGAGGATTTTGGAGAGGTAGCCGTGTTCCTGAGCAGTGGGAACATTTGCTACCTTTGGGAGCAAGGAGCACATATCCTTGGCTTCTGCTGACGTGTGTCTGTCCTATTGCAGAACTCCAAGATGATGGATATGCTTGCCTTCAACGGCAAAAACAGATATACTCGCATCAGTGGAAATACGTTCCTCACACTACCAACGTGAGTGCCATCTCTTCTGCAACATCTGGCTGGCCAGGGGAGCGGGTGCCCAGCTCGTGCTTTGGGTGCAGCGTCTTCTTGATGCTTCTCTCCTGCCAGAGCGAGGCAGGACCAGCTCGTTCCTGGGAGGCCTTCCAGGTTGACCCCCTGCTCAGTCAGCACTTCTGGGCAGTGCAGATGAAGCGGCCAGTCTGCAGTTGAGGGTCCCTGAGAGCGGTGGGAGGGTGTGAGGGGACAGCGAGGAGGACTTGTGTTGGCTCTGGCAGTAAGGCATAAGAAGCATGGGAAGAAGCTGCTGGAGGCTGTGGGGCCCCTCAGCTCGCACAGGCCATTGTGTCCTCCAGAGGCTCGGCAGTAGCTCCCAAAGAGCCCTGCCAGCAGCTTCTTAGTGTGGGGCACCAAGGGAACATAGTGCCTTATTTGACAACTGCTGTCTTCCTGTTTCCAGGCTTATACTTCGGGACCCACGACGCAAAGCAGTTTGCATCAAGCCCAGAAGGGATCCGCAGCCTTGGGGCATGGGTGGCCGAAAATGTAATGTCCCAGTGGGCTCCTGGCAGGGGGTTGCGTGTTCTCCTTTTGTCCTCGCAGGGCAGGAGAGCCAATGTTGATGTGTGGGGGATGCGAGAGAAGGCAGCTGTGTGGGATAAAATGCCCCAGGAGTGGTGGCTCCCAGCGGTGGCAATGAGTGTGGGTGGACATGGCTGAGCAGCTCTGCTGCTGCTGCCGCTCCCCTGCACAGACACAGAGGTGACATCGTGCTGTTCTCTTGCAGTGAGTGTGCTGGACCCGGTGGTGATGGCTCGGAGGAGGGTTTCTCAAGCCAAGAGGGCAGAGAAGAAAAGAAAGGAGGAGGCAGACAAGCAGCGTGAACAAGCCAGGTGAGCCTGCTGGAGAAGTGTTGTGGCGGAGTTAGGGGACTCGCTGTGCTCTTGCTGCTGGAGCTAAGATGTGAGCTGCGAGCCCGCCCTTTAGAAACTGCCTCCCATAAGCTAAACTTGCTGTGTCTTACTAGATTCCTGCCACCAATTCATGAGAGGTCTGAGGAGGAGCTGAAGAAACCAACACCTTCAGCTTATCAACGGTCATCCATAATCCCGGCTTGTTATAAGGACACTCCACCAATGGTACGCCATAGGCATTTGTCAGTCCCGTTTCACTTTGGGGGTTCCAGAGCAAGGCAGAAGCAGCAGCTGTTGCTGCCCACTGTCCCCATGCTCCTGCCTGTGCCCAGCCCCAGGAGACTAACGCTGCGTGCGGATGTGTTTCCCTTGCCTGCAGGGAGTGCGCTCTGTGCGCGCTCAGATAGAAGACGGGCATGAATACTGATGGTCCACAGGCTCAGAAAGATTGAAGCTGAAATGTGGGACCTATGCTGTGTATGCATATGGAGTAGGAGCAAGGAGCATGGCATGTTTTCAGAGAGCCTAGGAAAAAATGCCCCCAGCAGGCTTTTGCCCTGCTCCTTGGGAGGGAGGGGAGCAGTGCAGGTCTCCGGCACGGCAGCGTTGCAGTCCCCACCTGGCCAGGCAGGTGCCTGCTGTCTGCGCGCTCCCCTGCACGTTGCCATGCGGGAGGAGCTGTTGCAGTTAGCAAAGGGCAGAGCCAGCAGAGAGCTGGGCATGGGCACGAATCTGCCAAGGGTCTGTACCTCCCTGCGAGGGATGTGTGCCCGCTGTACCTGCACCCTGAAGACTAAAGTGAGCCTGTGCGAGGCACCTGCCTTCACAGAAGCACACATGCAAGCAGAAAAGGCAGGCCCTGCCCTGGGCTCAGGGAGCAAGGGCTGCAGCCTTGAAAGCACCGTCTGTTGGAAGGAGACCCCTTTGGAGAGGGTGGCCTGCTGCTGCTCAGAGCCATTTCCTGCAGGAGCGCACTGGGAGTAGCAGCCTCAGCTGCTTGCAGCAGTTCTCTAGGAGACTGTCTTCTGGTTTTGCAGAAATATTTCTGCCAAATACTCAAGTGCACACGAGTTCCTACCCACATCGTGAGAAAGGAGTATGATCAGATGCTGAAGCGGAGAATAAAGGACAAGTTGAAAGGCCAAATGCCTACGAGCCTGAAGGCACCAAAGGGGTGGCAGCAAGTGCCACAGCAACCGAGGACAGCACAGAAAAAGTAAGTGTGCACCGGTCCAGCTGAGACCCGGAAACAGCCCTGGAGGCCATGACCCGTGTTCTGGGGTTCCACGGCTTGTCGTCTTCCCCTTCCTCGTGACATGGGAAGGAGCTGGGTGCGATGGCAACCCAGGGATCTCTCTGAACCCCACAACCGAGGCATGACACAGGTCCCAAGGGGAAGGCTGTGGGTGCAAAGGGCCAAGGCAGCTGTGTCTGATGGTGTGCGTCTGCTTGGGTTGTAACAACACACCCCACAGCTAGGGGCCTGAGTGAGGCCTTGGGACATTTCTGTCCCTTCTTCCCCACACAAGTGGAGGAAGTCAGATGCTTTTGTGCCAGTGAGATGTTTCCCTGGGCTGCACTGAACGTGCTCATGCCAAAAGGCACTGGAAACACCAAAGGGACAGCTGTTGTCCTGGTGTGGTCGTGGTCTTCCTCCTCCAGAAGCACCTTGTGGTGCTGGAGATAAGGTGTGAGCTGCGAGCCCAGCTCTGAGTAAGTGCCTCCAAGTGTAGTCCCATATGCTAAGCCTGCTGTGTCTTTCTAGATTCCTGCCACCAATTTATGAGGAATCTGAGGAGGAGCTGAAGAAGCCAACACCTCCAGCTCATGCAAAGCCTAGGACACCTGAGCACGGGGCTTTTGCTCAGGACACTTCAACACCGGTACGCCATAGGCATTTCCCAGCCCCGCTTCCCCTTGGAGATTCCAGAGCAGGACAGAAGCAGCAGATGTGGCTGCCCACCGTCCCTGTGCTCCTGCCTGTGCCCAGCCCCAGGAAACTAACGCTGCGTGCGGATGTGTTTCCCTTGCCTGCAGGGAGCGCGCTCTGTACGCGCTAAGATAGAAGAAAGAAGGCTCCGCATACTGAAGGCCCATAAGATGAAAAATCTTGAGGCTGAAACATGGAACCAATATGATTCCACGCTTCAAAAGCTGATGATGGAGCACAAGCAGGTATGACATGCGTTCAGAGCCCCCAGGAAGAAAATGTCCCAGCAGGCATTTCCCCTGCTCCTTGGGAGGCAGGGGAGCAGTGCAGGTCACCGGCACGGCAGCGTTGCAGTCCCCACCTGGCCAGGCAGCTGCCTGCTGTCTGCGTGCTCCCCTGCACGTTGCCATGCGGGAGGAGCTGTTGCAAGAAGCAAAGGGCAGAGCCAGCAGAGAGCTGGGCGTGGGCACGGGTCTGCCAAGGGTCTGTACCTCCCTGCGAGGGATGTGTGCCCGCTGGACCTGCACCCTGAAGGCTAAAGTGAGCCTGTGCGAGGCACCTGCCTCAGCAGAAGCACACACGCAAGCAGAAAAAGCAGGCCCTGCCCTGGGCTCAGGGAGCAAGGGCTGCAGCCTTGAAAGTGCTGGCTGTTGGAAAGAGACCCCATTGGAGAGGGTAGCCCGCAGCTGCTCACAGGCAGTTCCTGCAGCAGTGCACTGGGAGAGGCAGCCTCGGCTGCTTCCTGCAGTTCTCTAGGAGACTCTCTTCTGGTTTTGCAGAAAAACTTTCACCAGCCGATGGAGCATGACCAACGTCCTTCATTCCAACTGAGAATGGAGTACAATGAGAAGCTGAAGGAGAGGATGAATCAGAATGACAAAGGCCAGAGCGGTGCGAGCCTGAAGGCACCAGAGGGGAGGCAGGAAGAGCCACAGCCCCTGAGGAGAGCACAGTCAGAGTAAGTGTGCACCGGTCCAGCTGAGGCTTGGGAACAGCCCTGGAGGCCCTGAGCCCCTGCACCATGTTCTGAGGTTTCCTGGGCTTGAAGTCCTCCCCTTCCTCTTGACACTGGAAGGAGATGGGGTGCGATGCCACGCCCAGGGGCCTCTGGGAATCCCCAGGCCCTTTCCAGGACACAGGTCCTGAGGGGAAGGCTGTGGCTGCAAAGGGCCAAGGGGGCCGTGTCTGATGGTGTGCGTCTGCACGGGTGGACATAGCAACACATCCCACAGCTAGGGGCCTGAGTGAGGCCTTTGGACATTTCTGTCCCTTCTTCCCCACACAAGTGGAGGAAGTCAGATGCTTTTGTGCCAGTGAGATGTTTCCCTTGGCTGCACTGAACTGTGCTCATGCCAAAAGGCACTGGAAACACCAAAGGGACAGCTGTTGTCCTGGTGTGGTCGTGGTCTTCCTCCTGCAGAAGCACCTTGTGGTGCTGGAGCTAAGTTGTGAGCTGCGAGCCCAGCTCTGAGTAAGTGCCTCCAAGTGTAGTCCCATAAGCTAAGCCTGCTGTGTCTTTTCAGATTCCTGCCACCAATTTATGGGAGGTCTGAGGAGGAGCTGAAGAAACCAACCCCTCCTGCTCATCCAAAGCCTAAGACCCCTGAGTGCCAGGATAATCCTCAGGACCCTCCAACATCGGTACGCCATAGGCATTTCCAAACCAGGTTTCCCCTTGGAGACTCCAGAGCAGGGCAGAAGCAGCAGATGTGGCGGCCCACCGTCCCTGTGCTCCTGCCTGTGCCCAGCCCCGGGAGACTAATGCTTCATGCGGTTGTGTTTCCCTTGCCTGCAGAGGTGGCGCTCTGTGCGTGCTCAGATGGAAGAAAGACGGTACAGAATACTCATGGCCCACAAGCGCACAGAGCTTGAAGATGAAATCGGTGGGGAATATGATGCAATCCTACGGAGTAGGAGCAGAGAGCGAAAACAGGTATGTCACGCATTCAGAGCCCCCAGGAAAGAAAAGCCCCAAGAAGGCAATTCCCCCACTCCTTGGGAGGGAGGGGAGCAGTGCAGGTCTCTGGCACGGCAGCGTTGCAGTCCCCACCTGGCCAGGCAGGTGCCTGCTGTCTGCGCGCTCCCCTGCACGTTGCCGTGCGGGAGGAGCTGTTGCAAGAAGCAAAGGGCAAAGCCAGCAGCGAGCGGGGCATGGGCACCGGTCTGCTGAGGGACCGTACCTCCCTGCAAGGGAGCAGTGTCCGTAGTATTTGTGCCCTGAAGACTAAAGTGAGCCTGTGCAAGGCACCTGCCTCAGCAGAAGCACACACGCAAGAAGAAAGAACAGGCCCTGCCCTGGGCTTAGGGAGCAAGGGCTGCAGCCTTGAAAGCACTGTCTGTTGGAAAGAGACCCCATTGGAGAGGGTAGCCCGCAGCTGCTCAGAGCCATTTCCTGCAGGACTACACTGGGAGGGTCAGCCTCAGCTCCTTGCAGCAGGTCTTTAGGAGACTCTCTTCTGGTTTTGCAGAACCCTGTCTACCACCTCCTGGAGGGTGACCAACGTCCTTCGAGCATTGTAAGAAGGGAGTATGACAAGAAGCTGAAGGACAGGATGAAAGAGAATGTCAAAGGCCAAAGCCCTGCAAGTAAGAAGGCACCAGATGCCTCGAAGGAAGAGACAAAGCCAACGAAGGCAACACAGACAGAGTAAGTGTGCACTGGTCCAGCTGAGACCTGGAAACAGCCCTGGAGGCCCTGAGCCCCTGAGCCGTGTTCTGGGGTTCCACGGCTTGTCGTCTTCCCCTTCCTCATGACACGGGAAGGAGCTGGGTGTGATGCCAACCCAGGGACCTCTCTGCACCCCATCACTGAGGCATGACACAGGTCCCGAGGGGAAGGCTGTGGGTGCAAAGGGCCAAGGGGGCCGTGTCTGATGGTGTGCGTCTGCACGGGTTGTAACAACACATCCCACAGCTAGGGGCCCGAGTGAGGCCTTGGGGCAATTCTGTCCCTTCTTCCCCACACAAGTGGAGGAAGTCAGATGCTTTTGTGCCAGTGAGATGTTTCCCTGGGCTGCACTGAACGTGCTCATGCCAAAAGGCACTGGAAACACCAAAGGGACAGCTGTTGTCCTGGTGTGGTCGTGGTCTTCCTCCTGCAGAAGCACCTTGTGGTGCTGGAGCTAAGTTGTGAGCTGCGAGCCCAGCTCTGAGTAAGTGCCTCCAAGTGTACTCCCATAAACTAAGCCTGCTGTGTCTTTCTAGATTCCTGCCACCAATTCCTGGGAGGTCTGAGGAGGAGCTGAAGAAGCCAAAACCTCCAGCTTACCCACAGACTAAACCCCGTGAGCACCTGTCTTTTGCTGCTCAGAAAACAGCAACATCGGTACGCCATAGGCATTTCCCAGCCCCGTTTCCCCTTGGAGATTCCAGAGCAGGGCAGAAGCAGCAGCTCTGGCTGCCCACCTGTCGCTGTGCTCCTGCCTGTGCCCAAGCTCCGGAGACTAATGCTGCATGCGATTGTGTTTTCCTTACCTGCAGGGAGTGCACTATATGCGTGTTCTAACAGAGGAAAAACGGGAACAAGCGCTGATGGCCCACAGGCTCAAAACACGACAAGCTGAAGCGTGGAAAGAATATGATTCCAAGACGCAGAAGCTGCTCTTTGAACGAAGAAAGGTATGACATGGATTCCGAGCCCCGAGGAAAAAAAAAAACGCAAGCAGGCACTTCGCTCTCTCCTTGGGAGGGAGGGGAGCAGTGCAGGTCTCCGGCACGGCAGCACTGCAGTCCCCACCTGGCCAGGCAGCTGCCTGCTGTCTGCCCGCTCCCTGCACGTTACCATGCAGGAGGAGCTGTTGCAGTGAGCAAAGGGCAAAGCCAGCAGCGAGCTGGGCATGGGCACGGGTCTGCCGAGGGACTGTACCTCCCTGCGAGGGATGAGTGCCCGCTGGACCTGCACTCTGAAGACTAAAGTGAGGCTGTGCGAGGCACCTGCCTTCACAGAAGCACACATGCAAGCAGAAAAGGCAGGCCCTGCCCTGGGCTCAGGGAGCAAGGGCTGCAGCCTTGAAAGTGCTGGCTGTTGGAAAGAGACCCCATTGGAGAGGGTAGCCCACAGCTGCTCAGAGGGAGTTCCTGCAGCAGTGCACTGGGAGGGGCAGCCTCAGCTCCTTGCAGCAGTTCTTTAGGAGACTCTCTTCTGGTTTTGCAGAACCCCATCAACTCCTTGCAGATGTGTGACCGACGTCCTTCCTTCCACATGAGAAAAGAATACGATGAGAAGCTGAAGGAGAGGATGATGCCTGTCAGTGGCCGAATAAAGAGTGCTGGTGCGGGCTGCCAGCTGGACTGACCACACTGCTCCCTGCATGGCCTTTTTTTTTGCACAAAGGAGGAGAGGAGAAGCCCTGCAACTCCCGGTACTGCTCCCATGGTTGCGAGCCACCTCTCCCGGTGGAGGGCAGCTCGTGCAGGGGGGCCTCAGGCCCTGCGGCAGAGGGCTTCTCGCAGTGTTGACGAGGACTATCTGCCACCAGGGACTTGCTGCTTTGCAACAATGGCCGGGAATGACAAGCAGGCTTCTGTCTCTGGGACACCTTCCTTGCCATCCGTTCTACCATTTGTGGGCCCACAGACCCATTCTCCTGCTTTGGGGATTCCTTTGGGGTTTTCTCCACATGCCCTCTCAGCACTTTAGACCTTCACTAGAAGTACTCTGCTTTTCCAGGTTCAATGTGCAAAAAAAGAAAAGGTGGTTTTTTAGCCGAGGCACTATTTGCTCCGCTGGACTTTGAGCAGATTGCCTCAGACATCCACTTCAATATTGATCGAATTGGGCCTTTTCTTGAGATACGCTGTCCCCACTTAATCCCCCCAAAAATCAACAAGTTTATAGTCCACTGAATATATATATTCCTCTTGCATAGTTGTGGCTATTAGGTCATCTACATACTGTGCCTTTGCCTGGGAGTGAGCTCCAAGCCTCAAGCTCCTTTGCTAGCTGATTACCAAACATCGTCAGGCTATTTTAAGCCCTTGAGGTAACCCTGTCCAAGACAACTGAATCTTTCTGCCATTTTATGGATTTTCTCACACAAAGGCAAATGCTTTTTGACAAAAGAAGGCATCTTTCAAGTCCAACATGGTAAATCACACATGGTCAGTTTTGAATTTGGGGTAGATGTGCTCCAGGATTTCACTAGGCACCAGAGTACTTTTGGTACCTGTATTAACTTAAAAATTGGATTAGCTGAGTCACAGAATCACAGAACTGGAGGGGTTGGAAGGGACCTCGAAAGATCATCGGGTCCAACCCTTCCACCAAAGCAGGCTGCCCAGGTAGGCGTCCAGACGGGCCTTGAATATCTCCAGAGAAGGAGACTCCACAACCTCCCTGGGCAGCCTGTCCCAGTGCTCCGTCACCCTCCCCGTGAAGAGGTTCTTTGGCATGTTGGTGCGGAACTTCCTGTGCTCTATCTTGTGGCCATTACTCCTTGTCCTGTCTCCACAAACCACTGAAAAGAGGTTGGCCAAATCCCTCTGTCTCCCACACCTCAGCTATTTCTACGCATTGATGAGATCCCCTCTCAGTCTTCTTTTCTCCAGGCTGAACAGACCTAGGTCTCTCTGCCTTTCCTCATAGGGAAGATAAGATAAGCTGCGTCTCTTTTACTTGGAGCTCCTTGGGCAAAACTTTATGCATGCTCCTGATTGTTTTAACAAATCTCTTCCCAACAAGGATTTAGCTGATCCTGGCAAATACAAAAATTGAAAGGCCGTTAAATTGTACAACCTTATCTCCTCAGCAGATTCTCCAAATTCCTCAAAGACAATGAACAAACCCCCACTAATTTATCACACCTTGAAAGTGCTGGCTGTTGGAAAGAGACCCCATTGGAGAGGGTAGCCCGCAGCTGCTCACAGCCAGTTCCTGCAGCAGTACACTGGGAGAGGCAGCCTCGGAGGCAGTTCTCTAGGAGACTCTCTTCTGGTTTTGCAGAAAAACTTTCACCAGCCGATGGAGCATGACCAACGTCCTTCATTCCAACTGAGAATGGAGTACAATGAGAAGCTGAAGGAGAGGATGAATCAGAATGACAAAGGCCAGAGCGGTGCGAGCCTGAAGGCACCAGAGGGCAGGCAGGAAGAGCCACAGCCCCTGAGGAGAGCACAGACAGAGTAAGTGTGCACCGGTCCAGCTGAAGCCTGGGAACAGCCTCACTTCAACACACCCCACAGCTAGGGGACTGACTGACGCCTTGGGACAATTCTGTCCCTTCTTCCCCACCCAAACTGATGGCCTTTCCTTTGGATCCTGCAGGAAAGGGGAGAAGACGAGGCTCTTGGACAACTGTGACAAGGCCCAGGGCGTGCCGTCCACACCAGGAAACCGCAAGCGGCCCTGCAGCTTCCAGCTGCAGAGGCCGTAGCCATCAGCACCAATACCAAAAGCTGGAGCAGGCGCCGGCACCAGTACCAGGGACACTCGAGAAGAAGCTCCCACCTCTCCTCTTGGCGCTGCCCCCTTTGCAGTGTGAGAGCTGTCAGCAAGGGGTGTGAAGAGCGCCTTCCAAAGGGTGACCTGCCAAATAAAGAGGGCGGGTGCCTGCTGCCAGCTTATACTTCAGGACCCACAACACAAACCGATTTGCATCAAGCCCAGAAGAGATCCGCAGCCTTGGGGCATGGGTGTAAGGCTTCTGTAAGGCTAGGGTAAAGATGAGGTACCCTAGCAGGTCCATGAGTTGAAATAAAACTAGGAAACGAAGAGAGAGGCTTGAATTTTTTTGTTGGTTCTGGGAGCTTCTTCCTCTGTGTTAATTAGTCTGTAAATGTAATAGGAGCAACTGGCCAACAGGAAAAGGTGGTTTTTTTTTGCAATACCAGAAATTTAAATTGGGAAAATTGGGGAAGAAAAGGGACTCATAGGCACTCAAGGAAAAGGGCTAATTCACCAAACTGTAGTTACTCAAATATTGCACGCATTGAGAGGACCTAGGGAAATTGCCGTAGTACATGTCAGAGGACATCAAAAGGGGAACTGGTTTCCACATAAGAGGGAATAACCTAGCAGGTAAAGAAGCTAGGAAAGCAGCTCTTAGGAAGCATGACGTAGTTCTAACCCTACAGGAATAGGATAATGAAAAAGGGGCACGAGAAAAAGCATACAGAAGCACAAATAAAAACTATAAAGACAAGAGGGGCAGAACTGAAAGAAGGAAAATGGATTCTGCCTGATGGAAGAGAAATACTGCCAAAGGAACAAGCTAGGCGTGCACTTCTACAGTTATTACTACAAACGCATTAGGGAACAACAGCATTGAGTGATCAATTTCTAAAATTTTATGGGTGTGTAGGAATACATGAGATAGCCAAACAAACTGTCCAGGAGCAAAAAACAGGCAGTAGCAGGGAAAATTCTGATTAGCAAAAGAAAACAGTGTTAGCCATGAGGTGCTTTCACAGTGATGGCTAGCTCAGCTTTACCACACCGGTCTCTCACCCTACCCCTACTCAAAGGAAAGTGAGGAGAAAATGTGACAAAAAAGGGTTTAGATCAGGACAGTTTACAAAGGAATAAAGAAAGGGAAAAAATCAGAAAACAATAACACAAATAAAAGAAGCAGGTGATGCACAATGCAGCTGGTCACCACAAGCCAACTGATGCCCACCTGGTCCCTGAGCAACAGTGACCTCTCCTGCCAACCCCCCCAGCGTTATTGTCCCACATGACACCACATGCTATGGGACATCCCTTTGGCCAGTTGGGGTCAGCTGTCCTGGCCGTGTCCCCTCCCACCTCCCTGTGCACCCCCAGCCTTCTCAGGTTCACCAGGAGGAAATCATGCTTGATAAACTGCTTAAAATTATCTAATGAAAGGACTGGCTTGGAAGACAAGAAGAGGGTATTGCATATAGACAGGGGGACTGATGGCTGAAGTGCAGCCCTGCAGAAAGAGAGTTGAGTACTGAGCTGCACAAATGCTCTGCTGCTACCACACTGCTAGTAGTATTCAACAAGTGTGTAATTCAGAGCTTAACCCAGCCTCACGGAAGGAAGCGAAGTCCCAAATGTGTCCTCCTGAAAACTAACAGCCTAAACACAAGTGCAACGTCAGGGGAAATTCAGAGAAGATGGGACCGGTGTTGTGAAGGACAGGGCAAACTAGAACAAACACAGCATACGGTAGGATCAAAGAAGGAAAAGGTTGTTCATCCCTTGAGACATAAAAGTAAGATTTCAATGGGAAGAGAAAGTAAAACAGCACAGCACAAAATAAAAAACAGCGTTATTTATTATATACCCTGCATCTTCCCTTGGAACAGTCACAGCGAGGTCCCGACTCCCCTCCCATCTCATTTTCCCTCTAACCCTTGCTGATAAGATCAGCAGATTAAGGAGATGAACAACTCTTGTCATCTTTGCTTGCTGTCTCCCAAGTAAGAAACCTGCACGCAGGCAGAGAGAGGTCAGTGTCTCTCTCAGAAAAATAAATAAAGAAATAAATAAACAAATAGAATAAAAATAATTAAAAGAAAAAAAAAAAAAAAAGAAACAACAACAGAGCAAACAAACAAACGAACAATAAAGCAGCCACACTCAGTGGTATTCTACTGCAACAACATCATCTTTGTTTCTCACACTCCCCAGTCAGAAACCTGCACACAGGCAGAGACAGTCAAGTGTTTCTCTCAGAAATTAATAAATAAATTAATAAACAAAATAAAACATCCACACTCGGGCGTAAGGGACACCTGTGACAGAGAACTGGCACAGGGTGCCCAGAGAGGCTGTGGAGTCTCCCCCAACAGAGATCCTCAACAGCAGCCTGTGCATGCTCCTCGGCAACCTGCTGTAGGTGGCCCTGCTTGAGAGGATCCATGATTCCTCTCTGATCTATGGTTCCGTGATTCTCTTGATTTTGAAAGCAAAGAATTCACCTGAACATCAAAAGCAGCCTGAAGAAAACAGCCATGCTCTGGAAGAACACTTTGAAGGAGCATATGCAACTAAGCTGGGCCTGACTGGCAAGGAGCCTTACTGCAGCCTCCAGCTTGTTAGGACACGGTTTGCGCAGAGCCTGGCAAAACCAGGCTGGGGTCTTGTTTTGAGCAGTGAGCTGAACAAATTCTCTACAGGTACTGCAGTGATACCTATATTCAGCCTGAGCTCAAACCAGCCTCACTCACACAAGGGAGTGAAGTCCAAAATGTGTCCTCCTCACACCTGTAATTGCAATGGACGTGGGGGTGCTGGAAAGGTGGAGGCAGTATATCAAAGAAAACGGAGTAACAGGAGCATATGGTAACAAGCTGAGGTGAGAGATGGAGGCAGAGGTGTCTGCACCGCCC